GCCACATGAACACAGCAGGACGCCACCAACATGCTGACAACAAAGTGTGTCCAATGCTAAAAATGTACCAAAAAGAGGGTGTTGTAACTGAAATTCATTATAATTGAATCTAAAAGAAGAAAAAGGAAAATGTAATGCAGTGTATAATTGTTTGTCAGGATGTGTAAGCTCAAAGTAAAAAATCAGGGAAAAAAAGGAATTAGATAATATCCAAAATGTAAGGCTATCAATATATTGTATTATTTATCTTTAGATTCAAATAAATTAAAACTATACACCAAAAGACAAGGCAAATACATCACCTTTTTGCTGTTAAACAAACGTCACATTACCCATGATATTGGCACTCTAGACTGTGGTATAAATAACAATATGCCAATTCATGTTCCATGTATCTTAACTAGGCCAGACATCATTGACAGGATTGTGAGGATATGTTGTTTTTAGTGTGACACATACAGTGACACACATCTATACCTCGTTAGCTAACATTTGATATCATTGCTTTTGCATCATTCAGAGCGCTAAGCCAGTGTTGTGTAAGGACATACAGGAAGGTGACTAAATGCTCACTGAAGAGACATTAATGCTTTATATCTGCCTACCTCACAGCATCAGGCTGCAGCATAGGGAAAGACCTGTACATTCACCCCTGCCAAAAATAAAACTCTGTCAGGTACTGTACATACCTTCCCACCCACAAGGAGTGACGAATCAGAGCTGCAGTGAAATGAAGATCCTGCTCAAATGTACGGAATCCAAGTCACCAATTTGAGGACATCTGCCTCTTTTCCTTGAACAAGGTCTAACTTTTGGCTTCAAGTAATCATGGGATAATCCTAAATGCTTTGTTTGGCATTAAGCTAAGTGTCATAGAGTAGTGTTCACCTTGAGCAAGGATACTTTTCACTGCTTATAACTTTTCATTTCTAGAGGAATGTGGCATTTCTTTCCCTAAGCGCTTTAATAGTCTTACTTTAAGGCATCACAGATCCACTGGGATCCGTTTTATATAACTTCGGGCGACTGAAGGTTGAATAGTTTGTGTCATTCAGCGTTCTTGTCACATTGAGTTTTTACAACAATGCTTGGCTGTCAGCAGCTTGAATGAACTTGAGGTGTAAGCTTCAAGATTGACATTACAGTCAAAAGCAACGCTGACAGTTAAAGGGCGGTATTACGCCTGAAGCATTTAAGAGACACTGCATCAGACGTAGGACATCTTCAGAATAACATACATTCCTCTCTGAAATCTCTGTGTATAGCTCTCTTTGGGTGAGGATTTAAACTGACTCACTGTGACTAAAAGGGGAGATTCATGTCAAAACGTGCAATTAGATGTTTCTCCCATATATAGTAGTAAGAATCTCAGTGGAAAATGGTTTAGCTTGAGCAAAGACAGAATATCTTGAATACTGCTATGTGATAAAATCATCTTTTTCACCATCCCTGTGTGACTACTAAACCTTGTCAGCATATTTTTGCATATTTTAATGCCATTATCGTCACCAGTAATAGGGTGATTTTGCCAAATTAACTGCTAAAACCACCTTAACTGTGACTAGAAAGAACCAGGCTTATTAGACTCAGGCAGATCTTTCTGTTGGCCAGACTGCATTCTTCGCTCTAATCTGAAATAATGAGGTCAGCAATAAGGTTACACTCTCTGACTGCTCGGTGTGAGTCCGAGGACGAACAGGGCAGTCCGGAAATTGGAGTAGGTTTGACATCAGGCCCGTATGGCAGTTGTTTATCCTGCTGCGATGTGAATGCTGTACCCTCATGCTGCGAGCAAAGCCCCACAGGAGCCTCGGACCAGTATCAGATACTACTTGAATGTGTTGTTCACTGAAGTTTGAGTATCTGGAGGGAAATTGCCAGACATAAGGAGAGATGCAAGTTAGTGCAGCACATGTTAGACAGGACGGAACATTAAAAGGAAAGGAACAACAAACCTTGGTAGTGAATATAGTTATCCTTATAAATGAACAGCGGCCTAGGATATGTAAAAGGGCCATTATAGGTGGTTATATATCCGGATAAATCTGTTTCTATTAACTGATGCCATTGTCAGGAGAGATGTATTACTTATTTCGTTAGCAACCCCAACCCCAACATCTAAGAACAAAGACATATTTTATTTTTGATTTATTATGCAGACAGGTAGAGAGAATATATAATCAATTCATTAATCGTATATATTGTGTAACGTAGTCATCCGTATATCCTTCCGCTGATTGGCTAAATCGGTTGCTAGGTCTCCTGCTTTACGTTTTAAAGCATGTCAGTATGCCAATTGATCTTGAAACCAAGTTAGTAGTGATAATTCTTTGATGTTCTTGGCATTATGCATGTCTACTTTAAGGCTTTTCAAATGTCATCAAATCAGAGCAGAGATATGTATACATTATTAACCATTCCTGCAATCATATTCCTATGTTTTTATAATCTGTAGTTGATGAATTTAGTGGTGTGTAGGAGAGAGGTGATCTCAAGGTGACTATGGAGTGCTCAGAAGCAGACAGATGCTACTGTATACAGAGCGGACCAGCAGGACAACATGCATTAAAAGAGTCAAATATTCATCTTTACATGTAGAATAAATATTTTATGGATACACTGACAAGGAGGGAGGCCAGATGGAAGCGATGAAGTGAATGTAATCTTGACTAAAAAAAGCTGAAATGTCAATGCCCCATTGTTCTTCATAGTTTGAAGTGAAATAACTAAACTGGAGAAATGCCCAAAAACCCTTTAATTGGCGTGGTTCATTTGGATTTAGTGTATAATGAGGTTGAAGTATAAAGAAACAGACAATGGAGATTCTCAGGTTGTACTTCTGTATTTAATGTACTTATTGGTATGGATATGTAGAAATGCTGTATGCTGTGCTCAGGAGTTGAATAAACCAGTGTACGGTCTGAGATAAGACTCTGTAGGATGTAGCCTTCAGATAGGTGTGGGCGTCATCCATTCCCAGGATGTTTGATCCTTCACTGTCTGCATCCCCATTGCTATATGTGACTTGTATAAGACGAGAGTCATACTTCAAAACATGCCTTCACTAAGTTGGATTGTGTTTAGCAATCAGCCTAAGGAAAACAACTTATTTTTAAAGTACATGAAATCGGTTCAGCCTACTACTAAGTCATTGGACCTCAGGTAGAAGCAATGGGAATTATAGTTGCATTGGAAAATGACTAATCTCTTTTAACTTCTAAAAAGGCTGAAATTCTCCAATCTACAGAAGCAGAGTGAATTTAGGGAATAGATCAGATTACATTTGGTATTAGGCTGAAATGCGCTAGCAGAAAAACAGACGCATGCTTTGCGTCACAGTCCATCATGCGGGGGCTACATCGCCCAGGGCTACAGGACAAAAGCCTTTCAGCTCAGATAAAAGTACATGAAACCTGGTGGCAACATAGTGCAAAACAAGCTCTGTGTACTCTGTAGTCAGAAGCATTTATCTGAAACGACTTCATTTAATCATCTATTCAAAGAACGGATGGTTGCTTGGTATTTTCAGTGTGGAAAGAAAATCAACCAGGAATGATCCCTGTAGTCAATACACAGCAGATACAAACGTGTCCTTGAGCAAGACGCTGAATCTGTAAAGCAGCTCAGGGGCTGCGGTGACCTCTGACCTCCCTGTGGAAGCACCCAGAGAATAAGTAGTTTGCTTTCGGATCGATAAAGTATTGCATTATCACTGAGTACTCCGTGTCGCATCATATGTCTGCTGCTGTGATAAACCACAGCAAAGTCTGTCTAATTCACCACTCATCGGCTCTGAGTGGAAACTTGACCCTCCATTAAACACCTCCCTTAATGATAAAGTCAACCGATAGAAGCGGGAAATTACTGCCTAGATTTGGAAGGAAAACGGCGTCCGCAATCAACCAGCAACTTCCAATGTTAATGCCTGATGATTTTGCACTTACTATTATATCGAGCTGACAAGTGTTGTTGACTCACACCGCGGCGTCTCTTCAAAACTATTTAAAAGCGTTAAATTAAGTGTGATGGCTGCCACGGAGGAAGGCTAATGGGTTGGAAGGGTTCTCCAAAGGCGCTCCCTTTACTGCTCTCTGGAACATATGGAGATTTGCTCTCTGAACCAACACTGCCAAATTGGCTTCAACACGAACACGGCACACCCTAGAGGACCCTGCCCTTCTTAAGTGATTTACTCCCTTAAGCTTAGCTGTATGACGGCTGTAATTACAGGAAATTGAAACGGACCTTCGGTGGAGGAAGGGCCTGTCTGATTCTGAGTGTGCCTCAGGAGACGGCTGTCGACAGACCGTGTGGTGAACGTGTTAAAACTGCAGTTCTATAACGCCTCTATGTGCTGCATTACATGCCAATCAGAACATGAAATAAATTAGAAGCCAGGGAGACATGAGTGTTGAAGAGACCTTTGACTTAGTGCCTGGAGGTAAGCAAAATAAGCTCAACAGCTCATTGTAATCTACTGGCACTCGCATTATGAAAACTGTCGTCCGGTCATTTGATTAATCAATTAATCAACTAATCGTTTCAATTACTCCAAGGATTCTGCGTCAGTTCACTTCTACATCTTATTCAACACTCATCATTAAGAACATGGGTCTATGCGTAAACCTATAAAAGTGCGTGAGTAATTGTGTTTGGGTGAGGGAGTGAATTTAGTGAGGGAGCAAGAAACTATGTGAGTGGATAATGGGAGGGAGCAAGTGAATGAGCAAGTGAATGAGTGAGTGAATAATGGATGATTCCGGTAAATAAGTGAAAAACAGGGAATGAGCAAATGAGTGAGGGAGGGAAATAAAGACTGAATAAGTGAGAGATGAAGTGAATGAGTGAGTAAACAAGTGAGGAAGTCGAATGGGTTAGTGAGTGAATGTGCTAATGAGTTGAGTTAGCAAATGAGTGTGACTAAATGAGAAAGCAAGTAAATGAATGAGTGAATGGCCTTATGTGTTTAGTAAGTGACTTGACCTGTGTCCCAGCCTCACCTTTTGTTCTTCTGGACACTCTTCTTGTCCCTCTTGTTCATCACGGTGGGCACGCAGCTCGTGAGCTCGGTCCAGTCCGCGTGCAGCCCGCAGCTCCAGCCCGTGGAGAACCGGGAGAAGAGCCAGGAATCTGCTCTCCCGGGCCGGTGACAGGTGCATTTCCTCTGGCCGGCCATGCAGTCGCAGGGCTGCTCCAGCTGGATGTTCTTCACCAGGTGACGCCCGAACGTGGTGCCGCCGGTCTTCTGGATGTGCAGGAACACCATCACATCATCCCCTCGGATTTTGAAATCAACGTGCCTGTCCAGGTTCCGCTCTGTGAAGTTAAATTTGGATGTTATTTTGGAGGGAAGGTCCTCGTCCGCCTCCGGCTCCGTGTAAACTAACTCAAACCCGGAGGAGGACCGCTGGAAGAGCCCCTTGTCGTCACTTCTGAAGTAGCAGGTGTTGCTGTCCGCCGGGCACACATACTGGTAGCCGATCATTAAGAAGAGCACCGCCGCGATGGGGATGAAGATGAGTCTGTTGAACTTCTCCTCCATGGTGGAAAACTGTAAATCACGCCGCCGGCACAAACGGTAACGTGATGTCCGAGTGTTGTTCCTCTCCCCCGGGTCTCATCCTGCCGCTTCACTGTCGGTGCTCCAGTCCCTCACAATTTGGAGTTGTGCAAACATCTCCTGCAGGAGTGCTTTGACTGGCGTCGCACAAGAGCAGGTTTGAAACTTGGAGCTTTCACGCTAAACATGCACTTATTTCCTGGAACATTTATGCATCTTTTTCCTTGAATATGTCACACTGGCACCTTTGGAGACGTCACGACGAAACGGCACATCCCCGCCTGAGGAGCGTTCAGGCTCGGCTGTCCTGCCAGAGTCAACTGCTGATCGCTATCTGAGCCAGGAGAGGCAAGTTGGACAGCATTAACACACGGACTTCCGGTCAGGGCTTTCACAATAACATCTTTACGCACACATCGTCTCATTTAACAGCTTCCTTACAAATCGGATACATAAGGTAAATATCTCGTTTTTTCCACAATTTTTTATTTAGTCAGGAAAACAACAACCGTATCCTGAGTATCTCGTCCAAATTGCAATAAAGCAATATTTCTAATTACATACATTTGGAATCAGAATAAGCATTTCATCACATAAACGTCGTAATTGCAACATAATTCTGTTGAGATCACATCTAATTTAATCAAATAAAGTGGGTTCACATTAATATTCCTAATTTGGTTGCAATGTTTTCTAGGTTACCATTGAAAGCATTATTCTTATTGGAGAACAGGGAATCCAGCAAGCCCAAATCTGTTAATGTTAAGTCTTACTATTGTGTGTAATAGTCATAGGAGTCCCAGACATTGTATAGCATATGTAATTAAACAAGTACATAGTTCTAAATGTAATTGGCTCTCAAGTGTCATATAATCCAAAGTTATATACACTTAATACCTATTTTGAAAAGGCACGTTTTTTACCCTGAGCCATTAACCAGAGAGGAGAAACGAATTAGTCAAATCAAATAGTTTATTTAACCCCTTCACGTTAAGCAATGCTTCTATTTTGAAAACCGAAAACTCTGATTACCGGTTTTGTTTTTGCTGACTTCACTACATCTGCGCCAGTCATCTGTCCCGGCTGCCTATCCCGTGACGCAATCGAATCTCTAATCACACACACACACACACACACACACACACACACACACACACACACACACACACACACACACACACACACACACACACACACACACACACACACACACATCCTTGCAATTTGAGCGGCCTCTAACAACTGCTGATGGAAAATCATTAATTCCAATAATGTAGAAAGCATATTGGGACTTAAAGCGGAAATTATGTAAACAACAGTGATTTATTTACAAGTGACTTATTTCATTATATACTAAATACAGTGACCTAAAAGTACAAACTGATCTGCATTGTATTATGTTTATACCTTATGGTTCTATTTTAATGCTGTTATGGTTGCCTCAGGACTGACCCTAGTGTATCTGCATAGTGCAAACAGAAACTATGGTGTCTATATATGTGTTATGAAGTTATAATAAGCAGGTCTAAAAGTGTGAAAACATGATTTAGTGGATCTTAGTTCCCATGCAGCCAGCAGGAAAGAGTTAATCCTCAAGCGAGCAGCGAGTCGTTTCAGCACCATGGACAGATTCCAACATGTCAAGTCAATAATTGGCATCGTGTGTGTGTGTGTGTGTGTGTGTGTGTGTGTGTGTGTGTGTGTGTGTGTGTGTGTGTGTGTGTGTGTGTGTGTGTGTGTGTGTGTGTGTGTGTGTGTGTGTGTGTGTGTGTGTGTGTGTGGTGTGTGTGTGGTGTGTGTGTGTGTGTGTGTGTGTGTGTGTGTGTGTGTGTGTGTGTGTGTGTGTGTGTGTGTGTGTGGTGTGTGTGTGGTGTGTGTGTGTAGTGTGTGTGGGTGGTTGTGTGTGTGTGCGATGTGTGTGTGGGGTGGTGTGTGTGTGTGTGTGTGTGTGGTGTGTGTGTGATTTGTAGTTGTGTCGTGTGTGATGGTTGTGTTGTGGTGTGTGTTGTGTGTGTGTGGTGTGTGTTGCCGACGCGCGCGCGCGCAATTCCGTCATCATCCCACATAGGTTCTCATATACCCCTGGAACAGACTTAAACATGTGATGCATTCACAGCTCTATATGGACATAAAGGCAAGAAATACAGACATTTATCCCGTAGTAATGGATTCTCTTTAAGCTTCTGATAAAAAGCTTTTGTTATTTTGCCTTAAATGTCCCTCCATCAAGGGATTTAACCAGCATGCACTTTGGTATTCTATTCAATCCTCTTCCTGCACTTTGCCCTCTTAGACTTAATCTGTATGGGAGTTTAGTCTGGAGCTCACCTCTCTCACCATTCCTTATTGAGGTGGGGACATGGAAGGAATTGTTATGGGGTCAGGACAAGACATATCTCATTTTCTAAAGGCCATGCAGAAATGAACTGCTGGGCATTAGATGTGTTGCCCCGGTGATGATAACACCCCGTGTCAGCGTGCTCTTTACCTGCGAGGCCCCCTCCTCCTCCAGATATGATTTAGCGAAAGAAACCTTTTCCACAAATGGCACGCTGATTAAAATCTGCGCAGAATCCCTGATGGGTAAGAATCTGCATCAATGTTTTGTGCAGCGAAGCGAGCCTTGTGTTGTTCTGGCTGTGCAGCTGGGATATTTACGAGGTCCCTATCGCTCGTAGTGAGCCTTATGAGAAATAACCCCGGGAAGTGCTGACTCATCCACAATGTGCAGGCCTCCCAATAATGGAACTGAGGCTTCCTAGAAATTATGATTGGATTGCTTTGGGATTTCTGTTTATCTGTTTTGGTCTTTTTCATTTCCAGCGAGGTCCCGGTCTGATGCAACTGCAGATGTGTGTGTATTATTGGAATTAGTATTGATTTTAAAATGATGCTGAGAAAGTTCACTTTTTGCAGCTGTGAGTTTCCGGGCATTTCTAGCAAATGAGCAGCCTGAGACACTGTTAAGGGAAGCAAATAAATGTAAAACTGCTGCACAAGAGAAATCGGGGACATTTAAAGGGGGAAAATAACTGTGGGGCATTACAGCTGCTGTTAATGAAAAATTATCCAAAACGTAACAGCCTCGAGAATGATTTGCCTCTTGCTGCTACTTCTCCAGGTTATTGAGTGGAATATAAATGAGGATAAGGCACATACAGAGTGTGGACGGTGGTAAAACGTGTACATACATAAAGGGAAGTCGCAGCGTTTTTTTTTCTTAAATGTGACAAAGCCTCATCGTTATCAGATCTACGGGTGGAGGCTGCACGTCTGCTGTCATGGTGTACAGATGGCGGTGCTGTCATGGCGACATCGGCATCTTCCTCCTCTGTGTGTGGTGTCAGACTCCTCACCTGCCCACGAGCTGCTGTCACTGATCACCTGATGGTCACATGACGGCGCGGCAGCTGCTCACCCCTTCGTTAATCTCTATGTATAACGTTCTGTTTGACAGGTGTTGCTGCATTTCCCTGTCTGTATTCTGACCCCTTCTGTCTCCGATAGACCTGTAGCTGATTATGGAGTCTGCTTATTGGTCTCTCTTCGATAAACTTGTTGATTAAAGTGTCATAAAAACGAGAAATTAATCCAGCACACACCCAAGCATGGGGGACCAAAACGGCTGCAGCAGAAAGTTTGGAACATTGGAATACAAATCAAAAAATCAAAACCCATACTAACACTGTACCTTTAACATCATTGATAGAACAAAATAAGTCATATTTAGGAATTATGCATGGTTTCTCCTGCTGCTAGCATTGTAGCCACATTATTACCTAAACTAGCTACTTTTTCTGCCTTACTTATTTAGAGCATTCTTAAAGTATTCTTCTTGACATGTGTGGGAAGGAAGGAAGCATTGGACAGATACACTGAGATTAACATCCTCCGGCAGTGGCCCAGTAAGTAGGGGCTTGGACTGTGAGCCGTAGAGTCGCCGGTTCATGTCCCCGACCGGACCTAAATATGGACTTCTACTTGGAGAGCTCCCAATTCACCTCCTGCCCTGCCGTGGTGCCCTTGAGGAAGGCACCGGACATCCTCCTTCCCCCCTCACTCCCATTGCTCCCCGGGCGCTGTACACTAGCTGCCCACTAGCTGCCCACTAGCTGCCCACTAGCTGCCCACTAGCTGCCCACTAGCTGCCCACTAGCTGCCCACTAGCTGCCCACTGCTCCTAGTACTAGACTCCTGGTGCTAGGATGGGTTAAAAGCAGTGAACACATTTCACTGTGTGTGCTGTGTGCTCTGCATGTGTGACCATTAAAGAGGGGTTTTATCCCTCCCGATTATATTCTCAAACAGTAGGTAGTCACTTTAAATCTTTCTCTCTGAATATTTTAAAAAGTGATTCACAATATGTTTCTATGACCAAGGAGCAGTCATCATAAAAACGAGAAATTAATCCAGCACACACCCAAGCATGGGGAACCAAAACGGCTGCAGCAGAAAGTTTGGAACATTGGAATAAAAATCAAAAAATAAAAACCCATACTAACACTGTACCTTTAACATCATTGATAGAACAAAATAAGTCATATTTAAGAATCATGCATGGTTTCTCCTGCTGCTAGCATTGTAGCCACATTATTGCCTAAACTAGCTACTTTTTCTGCCTTACTTATTTAGAGCATTCTTAAAATATTCTTCTTGACATGTGTGGGAAGGAAGGAAACATTGGACAGATACACTGAGATTAACATCCTCCGGCAGTGGCCCAGTAAGTAGGGGCTTGGACTGTGAGCCGTAGGGTCGCCGGTTCATGTCCCCGACCGGACCTAAATATGGACTACTTGGAAAGGTCCCAGTTCACCTCCTGCCCTGCCGTGGTGCCCTTGAGGAAGGCACCGGACATCCCCCTTCCCCCCTCACTCCCATTGCTCCCCGGGCGCTGTACACTAGCTGCCCACTAGCTGCCCACTAGCTGCCCACTAGCTGCCCACTAGCTGCCCACTAGCTGCCCACTAGCTGCCCACTAGCTGCCCACTAGCTGCCCACTGCTCCTAGTACTAGACTCCTGGTGCTAGGATGGGTTAAAAGCAGTGAACACATTTCACTGTGTGTGCTGTGTGCTCTGCATGTGTGACCATTAAAGAGGGGTTTCATCCCTCCCGATTATATTCTCAAACAGTAGGTAGTCACTTTAAATCTTTCTCTCTGAATATTTAAAAAAGTTATTCACAATATGTTTCTATGACCAAGGAGCAGTCAATACTCCTTTGCTTCACGGTAGAAATGTACACTTCCATTTAGATTGTGATCATATTATTAGATGCCATTGAGCATCCTTGGTTTCTGTAAACTGACAACTCTGGCCGTTAGCCTGGGCTCCATGCG